CGCGCTCTGCCGCCAAGGCTGGAATGCAGTAGCACAAGCTTGGTCTACTGCAGCCTCTGTCTCCTGAACTCGAGCAATCCTCCCGCCTCAGCCTCCTGAGTAGCTGGAGCTACAGGTGCATGCCATCAAGCCTGGCTAATTTTTGTATTTTTAGTAGAGATGATGGGGTCTCACCATGGAGATTGCCCAGGCTAGTCTGGAACTCCTGAGCTCACATGATCCACCTGCCTCAGCCTCCCAAAGTGCTGGGATTACAGGTGTAAGCCACTGTGCCTGGCCCAGAATCTGCATTTCAGATTCATGTCTGAGGTAGCTGTGAGCTGTCCCATTTAGAGGAATAAGGTGGGAAAGAGTCCTCAAGAAAACAAGGGTGTCCCATTGCTGGTGGCGGGTGCAGCAGTGATAGATAAAGAATCTTGGCTCAGTTAATCTAAGACGCAAGGGAGGAGTCCTGAGTGACTGGCAGCTTTGTTTCCAGTAGCAGCCCAGTCCCTTATCTTGGGATTAGCGGAGATCCACATCTCTGCTTTCTCATGCATTTAAAACACACACACACACACACACATACACACAATCCTGCTTGGTCTGGGAGTGGGCAGAAGACGTTGTTAGGATTGCAAATGCATTCAGTGAAGCCCTCCTAATTACTGAATACATGTTAGAAAAATTCTGTAAAGAAAAATTTGCTCGTCACCACCTTCACATAACTGTTTGCATTTTACCCGCTGTACCCAGCCTACCCTTGTGCAAACAGATTTTTACATGGCTGCAACCAGAGAGCAAACGGTTGATTACTCCTTCATTCCCTAATACATCCCTACATTGAATTTCTCCTTTCCATTCTACCACCTGTTCTCCAGGGGCTGGATATCACAAGCATCTCACCCCAGGCTCGAGGAGAATGTCACAGACTCAGGGGCCCTATCGAACTCGAATCCCACTCTCTGAGACTTTAAAATAGCCTTTTCATGGCTCGGTTTCCCCTAGTCTACAGCAGTGTTAGGAAGAGGCGCTGAAGCAGGCAGGGGCAGGAAGTGCTCCATGCTGGGAATGATTTCACAATAATAAATCATGCCTTAGAGCAGGGGGCAGTAAACTTTTTCTGTGCAGGGCCAAAGAGTAAATATTTAGCCTTTGCAGGCCATAAGGTCTCTTTTGTAACTACTCAACTCTAGCCATAGGTCATAGGTAAATGAGGGGCATAGTTGGCTATGTTCTAATAAAACTTTATTCCCGGCCGGGCGCGGTCACTCATGCCTGTAATCCCAGCACTTTGGGAGGCTGAGGTGGATGGATCATGAGGTCAAGAGATCAAGACCATCCTGGCCAACATGGTGAAACCCCGTATCTACTAAAAATACAAAAATAGCTGGACACGGTGGTGTGCGCCTGTAGTCCCAGCTACTCGGGAGGCTGAGGCAGGACAATGGCTTGAACTCAGGAGGCGGAGGTTGCACTGCGCTGAGATTTCACCACTGCACTCCAGCCTGGCGACAAAGCAAGGCTCCATCTCAAAAAAACAAAAACTTGATTCCCCAAAGCAGGCCATGGGCCAGAATGGAGCCAGCACTGTAGTTTGCCAATCCTTGCTTTAGAGCAAGCTTGTCCAACCCACAGTCCAACACAAATTTGTGAACTTTCTTAAAATATTATGAGGGTTTTTTTGTTTTTTTTTTTGCATTGCTTTGTTGTTTTTTAGCTTATCAGCTATCATAAGTGTCAGTGTATTTTATGTGTGGCCCAGGGAAGCCAAAAGATTGGATACCCTGCTTTAGAGCATTTAGTTTTAATGCCCTTCGAAGCACTGCCATAAATACCACTTCAGGCACTTACCCTGCAGGCGGCCTGGACACTATCCCCTTTAATAAAAGAAAAAATGGAGGCCCAGAGAGTGCTTAGCCCCACGTGTTGACAGAGACAGGATGCCAAGGAAGGGCTGCACCTGCATCCCATCACAGAATCCCCAACCTTCGTCCCTCCTCTCCCTAACTCCAAGCAGAGCAGGGAGGAGGACCTCTGCCACGCCCAGTGGCATCCCAGGGAACGCCCCGGAAACACTGGGGTGCCGTTCTGCTGGATGCATGTTTTCCACCCCTCTGTGTGCAGGCAAGACCAGGCTGAGTCAGCTGGAGGCCCTGCCCTGCCTTGAGGAATGGGAGGAGCTGTCCTTTGCATTAAAAAAAAAAAAAAAAACTGGCTCTGCCCAGGCCGATGAGGGCAACAGCTGGTTGGAGGTGACAGGGCACCAGGCTCTCTTCTTTCACCAGAGTGCTGATGCCAACTAGCAGCCTGCTCAGCCCAGGCAAAATGTGGAAGTGGCTGAGAGGCATGGCTGAGGTCTCCCCTTGGGGGAAGAAGGGGATGTGTGTGTGGGGGTGAGGGGGTGCTGTATGTGTGTGTATGAGGTATTTTCCAGGCAGATGCCCCTCAAGTAAAATTCACCCTTGAATTGCCATCCTCTGCAGAGTTAATTCAGCACATCCACTAGGAGTGTGATCTCTGGCCAGGGATGGTGGCTCATCCATGTAATCCCAGCACTTTGGGAGTCCGAGGTGGGCAGATCACAAGGTCAGGAAATCAAGACCATCCTAGCCCAACATGGTGAAACCCTGTCTCTACTAAAAATATAATAATTAGCCAGGCGTGGTGGCACATGCCTGTAGTCCCAGCTACTTGGGAGGCTGAGGCAGGAGAATTGCTTGAACCTGGGAGGCGGAGGATGCAGTGAGCCTAGATCGCGCCACTGCACTCCAGACTGGTGACAGAGAGAGACTCTGGGAAAAAAAAAAAAAAAAAAAGAGTGTGATAGCTGGAGCCTGACTGCCTGGGTTCAAATATTGGTTTTGCCTCTCAAGGGAGATTTTGGAGGTCATGGGAATGTTCTAAAACCAGATAGTGGTGATAGTTGCACAACTCTGTAAACAGTCTACTAAAAATCACTGAATTGTGGACTTCGAAAAATCTCGCTTCCAGCATTGAAAGCTGTGTGATCTTGGGCATATTACTTAACCTCCCCGCACCTCAGTCCCCTCATCTGTCAAACAGGAATGATAATAATAGTACCTGACTCCAGTTGAGATTTCAACGAATCAATAACACGAAGATTTTAGAAAGTCACCTTGCACCTAAGAACGGATAGATAAATGCTCGTTCCATGGTGTTTCCGTTGCGACGGAAAGAAGTGTTCGGGCTCACAGGCACTTGCCCGCACGCCTGTGTCTGGGAGTGCCTACACCGTGCCTCCGCTTGCCCTGTCCTCCTGGTCTTTGCCTCTACTGTTTGTTTTGCCAGGAATGCCCTTTCCTCTCAGCTCCAATGCTAGTTCCACTCAGAGGTCGTTTCTCTTTCTCTGCTTTTTTTTTTTTTTTTTTGAGACGGAGTTTCACTCATGTTACCCAGGCTGGAGTGCCATGGCGCGATCTCGGCTCACCGCAACCTCCGCCTCCTGGGTTCAGGCAATTCTCCTGCCTCAGCCTCCTGAGTAGCTGGGATAACAGGCACGCGCCACCATGCCTAGCTAATTTTTTGTAGTTTTAGTAGAGACGGGGTTTCACCATGTTGACCAGGATGGTCTCGATCTCTTGACCTCGTGATCCACCCGCCTCAGCCTCCCAAAGTGCTGGGATTACAGGCTTGAGCCACCGCGCCCGGCCTCTTCTCTGCTTTTATGCAGTGATTTAATAATCTTTTATAGCTAAGGCTCAGAAAGGGCTAAAGGGCATATGGTTAGTTCTGTTCACCCCCGATCTGAGATCCATGTACCAGGAAGAGGTGACACCTTGTCTATCCCACTCCTGTCCATGGTGCCTTGTACCCTAGCTATGGCGACCTGGGTGCTGAACTGAGTCCAGCAGCAGGCGCCAAGGCTGTGACATCCACTGTCAGTCCCAGCACAGTGGCTAGACAGACCAGTGACGATAATGTGGTGGCAGTGAAGGCAGGCAAGCTAAAGCAGTGATGGGTGATGTTCCTTGGGCCCAGAAGCCACTAACCCACCCGGGGGTTCCAGAGTCACATGTCATACAGGAGAGATGGCTATCTGTCTCCAGCCGCTGGCTTCCCCCAGTTATAGAGAATGCAAATTGCAAAACGATGCAATGATAAGGTGATCCACAGCCAGAGCCTGGGGATGGGCCAGGGTAGTGCTTTTAAGCCTGCAGAAGCACACAAGTCTGATTTTGGGGTCGGCAGCTGGCAGTCAGGGAGAGGGTTCCTTGGCCTCCACTGTCCCATTTCTGGCTCCGCGGTCTCAGCCCAGGGACAGCCCAAGCCCAGGTTGACTGGCAGGAGCCTGTGGCCCCAATAAGTGACCTGGTGTCACAAACAGGCTGGTAACCTGGCCGTAGCTGCGCCTGTTGGTTTTGCCTGGGCCTCACCTAGCCAGAGCCAAGTGGAGCACCCAGATAGCAGCCCCCTCCCTGCCACGTGCGCTGGGGAAACAGACTGCGTGCAAAGGGTGAGGGAGGAGACCGTCCCCTAGCCCCCAGTTCTCCAAGAACACTACTGCTTCGGCCAGAAAGGGAGTGTAGGGGTGGGGTGGGGGTAGATACCGCAAACCTCCCGAAGCCTTCCCGCGAACAGCAACACAAGCACAGGATCCGCCAAGCGGGGGAAATGATCACCTCCGAAGAGGGCCTGGGATCAGAGGTGCGGGCGGCAAAGTTCTCCTACCCCCCGGTGGAGACGTGGGGGCCCTCTTTCCCCCACCTCTCTCACCGCACGGCCATTCCCAGACACCCCGGTCCGGCGCCTCCTCCCCCGCCCGGCGGCTGCTCTCGGCCAGTCCGCAGGTTCCAACGTGTCCCTCTCCTCCGCGCCTCCGGGAGACGGCGCCGCTCGCCCTGCCCCAGCGCCCCGCGTCTCCCGCGCACTCACCGAAGCCCCTGGTCCCCTCCTCCGGGGCCTCTTGGGTGAAGATCCAGGGCGGGTTGGTGGCGTAGAGGGAGGTGCTGGGGCTGGTGGCGTGCTTCTTCCCGAAGAGTTTGCTGAAGGTGCCTTGCACCGTCTGGTTCTTTTTCATGCTGCCGCAGCCCGCGCGGGCGCCGGGGAAAAACCTTGCCTCCGTCGCCCTGCCCGGCCCGGGACTGAACGCCGCGCGGTCTCTCCAGGGGACCCTACCAGGCCAGGTCCTCCGCCGTCCTCCCCGCCCGCGCACCGGGCGACAGGTGCTGCGGGCGCCGCCGCTCGCCGGGAAATGTGAGCTACCTGGCCAGGTAAGAGGCAGCCGCCCGGCCCGGCCCCGCCCCGCCGCCGCCCAACTCCCCAGGCCGCATTCCTTCTCTCCTCCTTCTACAACAGGCCATTGTTGGCACGGCCCGGTGGGCTGGTGACCTCGCCTGGCGCACGCCCACCCTGGGAGACGGGCCACCCCCTTCCCCAGGTTCCCTCCCGGCACGCCTCCTCCACCCCACTTCTCCCTGGGCCCGGGAAGGAGGCGGGTGAGTTCCCTGCCTCTCAAGGCGGTTCGTGAGCAGGTCGGTGTACGCACTTCGGGGACAGCTCTAGCGTCCAACACGAGGGACATGAATGGCCAAAGCAAGCACGCCACGGCATCCTATAGGCCTTCAAAAATGTGGGGCCTGAGGCTTTGGGGGGCATCAGGAAGTGCCCTGATAAGAAAAGTAAGCTGGGAAAAGCAAGAAAATGACAAACTAGTATACCAATCTAATGACGACGGTGGAAACATGCTCATTGACAGGGCTCCCAAGAGAATGTGGGATGACGAAATCTTGGCATTCTGCGTACATCACATTCTTTTTTTTTTTTTTTTTTTTTTTTTTTCCTTTTTTTTTGAGACGGAATTTTCGCTCTTGTTACCCAGGCTGGAGTGCAATGGCGCGATCTCGGCTCACCGCAACCTCCGTCTCCTGGGTTCAGGCAATTCTCCTGCCTCAGCCTCCTGGGTAGCTGGGATTACAGGCACGCGCCACCATGCCCAGCCAATTTTTTTTGTATTTTTAGTAGAGACGGGGTTTCACCATATTGACCAGGATGGTCTCGATCTCTTGACCTCGTGATCCACCCGCCCCGGCCTCCCAAAGTGCTGGGATTACAGGCTTGAGCCACCGCGCCCGGCCTTTTTCTTTTTTTTTTTTAAGACGGAGTCTCACTCTGTCGCCCCAGTTGGAGTGCAGTGGCATGATCTTGGCTCACTGCAACCTCCGCCTCCTGGGTTCAAGCGATTCTCCTGCCTAGGCCTTCCGTTGGAGTGAAACTCCATCAAAAAAAAAAAAAAAAAAAAGAATTTCCCAGTTATCCCCTCAAATGTCATTTTAGTTTTTTTGTTTCTTTTTTCTTTTTTTTTTTTTTTGAGACGGGGTCTGACTCTTTTGCCAGGCTGGAGTGCAGGGGCGGGATCTTGGCTCACTGCAATCTCAACCTCCCGGGTTCAAGCATTTCTCCTGCCTCAGCCTCCTGAGTAGCTGGGACTATAGGCACCCACCACCATTCCCAGCTAATTTTTGTATTTTTGGTAGAGACAGGGTTTCATCATGTTGGCCAGGTTGATCTCGAACTCCTGACCTCAAGTGATCCCCTCCAAAAGTGCTGGGATTACAGGCATGAGCCTCTGTGCCCAGCCTGCTTCTTTCTTCTTTTCTTTTTATTTTTTGAAATGGAGTCTCCCTTTATTACCAGGCTGGCGTGCAGTGGCACAATCTCGGCTCACTACCACCTTGGCCTCCCGGGTTCAATCGATTCTCCTGCCTCAGCCTCCTGAGTAGCTGTTACTACAGGCACGAGCCAATATGCCTGGCTAAATTTTATATTTTTAGTAGAGACGAGGTTTCACCATGTTGGCCAGGATAGTCTTGATCTCTTGACCTCGTGATCTGCCCACCTTGGCCTCCCAAAGTGCTGGGATTACAGGCGTGAGCCACTGTGCCTAGCCTTTTTTCTTTTTCTTTTTTTTTTTTAAAGACAAGGTTTGGCCGGGCGCGGTGGCTCACACCTATAATCCCAGCACTTTGGGAGGCCGAGGCTGGTGGATCACGAGGTCAAGAGATCGAGACCATCCTGGTCAACATGGTGAAACCCCGTCTTTACTAAAAATACAAAAATTAGCTGGGTGTGGTGGCATGTGCCTGTAGTCCCAGCTACTCGGGAGGCTGAGGCAGGAGAATTGCTTGAACCCAGGAGGCGGAGGTTGCGGTGAGCCGAGATCGCCCCATTGCACTCCAGCCTGGGTAACAAGAGCGAAACACCGTCTCGAAAAAATAAAAAATAAAAAAGTAAAAAATAAATAAAGACAAGGTTTCATCATATTCGTCAGGCTGGTCTCGAACTCCTGACCTCAGGTGATCTGCCTGCCTCAGCCTCCCAAAGTGCTGGGATTACAGGCATGAGCCACCGGGCCCGGCTTTTTTTCTTTTCTTTTCTTTTCTTTTTTTTTGACGGAGTCTCGCTCTGTCACCAGGCTGGAGTACAGTGGGGCAATCTAGGCTCACTGCAACCTCCAACTCCCTGGTTCAGGGGATTCTCCTGCCTCAGCCTCCTGAGCAGCTGGGATTACAGGCCTGTGCCACCATATCAGGCTAATTTTTGTATTTTTTGTAGAGACAGGGTTTTACCATGTTGGCCAGGATGATCTGGATATTTTGATCTAGTGATCTGCCTGCCTCAGCCTCCCAAAGTGCTGGGATTACAGGCATGAGCCACCGAGCCCAGCCCTGTTTGTTTTTTCAATCCACAGTCCAACTGAGATTCACACCTTACCTCTGCTTGTCATGTCACCTTAATTTCTTAATTTAACAGTCTCCTGTTTTTTCTTTATTTTAAGAGAAGGGGGTCTGGTTTTGTTGCCCAGGCTGGACTTGAACTCCTGTGCTCAAGCAACTCTCTGGTGTCAGCTTCCCCAGTAGCTGGAACTGCAGGCCTGCCACCATACCGGGCTTAACAATCCCCTGCTTTCGTTTGTTTGTTTTTCATGACATTGACATTTCTGAAAAGTCCCCTGACTTGCTTTGGCTTCAATGGACAAGGTAAGCCAGGCCTTCAGGGCTTGTGGCTGTGAGGTCACTGTTTTCCAGGTACCAGATGAAGAAGTCTGAAGAACAGATGTGGTGGTGGGAGAGGAGAGATGGAGAGGGGCAACAGTGCCATTTTTAAAAACACCTGTTTCCCAGCCAGGTGTTTTGGTTAGAGACACACCTGTGATCAACTCTGTCCCACCCCACCCACTACTGTGGCACTCCTGGAACCAATTCCTGTGCATTCAAGGAGGATTTCTGGAGGACCTCCTAGTGGTCCACCTCCTAGTGGTTGGGGGACATGTGAGTATAAGATAATTATGAGTCTTGGCTGGGTGCGGTTGCTCAGACCTATAATCCCAGCACTTTGGGAGGTCGAGGTGGGCGGATCACAAGGTCAGGAGAGCGAGAACATCCTGGCCAACATGGTGAAACCCCGTCTTTACTAAAAATACAAAATTAGCTAGGTGTGGTGACACATGCCTGTAATCCCAGCTACTGGGGAGGCTGAGGCAGGAGAATCACTTGAACCCGGGAGGTGGAGGTTGCCATAAGCCAAGAACGCACCACTGCACTCCAACCTGGGCAACAAGAGTGAAATTCTGTCTCAAAAAAAACAAAAGATAAAAAAATTGAGAGGGAGTTTCACTCATGTTACCCAGGCTGGAGTGCAATGGCACGATCTCGGCTCACCGCAACCTCCGCCTCCTGGGTTCAGGCAATTCTCCTGCCTCAGCCTCCTGAGTAGCTGGGATTACAGGCACGCGCCACCATGCTCAGCTAATTTTTTGTATTTTTAGTAGAGACAGGGTTTCACCATGTTGACCAGGATGGTCTCGATCTCTTGACCTCGTGATCCACCTGCCTCGGCCTCCCAAAGTGCTGGGATTACAGGCTTGAGCCACCGCACCCGGCCGAAACCCCATCTTAAAAAAAAAAAAAAAAAAAAAAAAATTAGCCGGGCCTGGTGGCACATGCCTGCAGTCCCCGCTACTAGGGAGATTGAGGCAGGAGAATCGCTTGAACCTGGGCGGCGGAGGTTGGAGCGAGCCCAGATCGAACTACTGCAGCCTGGGTGACAGAGAGCAAGACTCCATCTTAAAAAAAAAAAAAAAAAATTGTGAGTTTTATTTCTACCACAGAAGATCTGGGGTCTCATCAAGAAGACAAGGCTTATATGATTGGAGGTGGCAGGCCCTGGGTAGCTAACTTCAGAACGGCGACTGCTGTCACTAGAACACACAGGAAGAATTCAGAGGAAGGGTGGTCAGCACCGGCTGGAGTAGTCCAGGAAGGCTGCTTGGAAGAACTGAGGCTTGAACTGGTCCATGAAAGATGACAAGGATGTCAAAAGAGAAGAGAAGAGCCTATTGCAGGGCATGCACATATGCCAATGCCACCCGTCCCTGCACCCTCCTGTCTCCACATCATGTTTCCTCCAACCACCCATGCCAGAAGGGCACAAGGGAACCCCCAGATGCCCTCTTACACCCTGGACCTTATCACAACCCACTTGAGTGCTCCAGACACTTGGGCACAAGACAGTGGCTTCTTTCTTGGAGAACTTTGAGGCATGAGGTCCCTGCCACCCTGGGTAACTCCTGGGTGCTTATACCCAGAACCAGCCTCAGTGTGGAGTCACCAAAAAGCGGCTCCGTTTGTTTGCTTGTTTGTTGTTTTGAGATGGAGTCATGCTCTGTCACCCAGGCTAGAGTGCAGTGGTGTGATCTCAGCTCACTGCAACCTCTGCGTCCCAGGCTTAAGTGAGTCTCCTGCCTCAGTCTCTCAAGTATCTGGGACTACAGGCGCATACCACCACACCTGCCTAATTAACGTATTTTTAGTAGACATGGGGTTTCATTGGCCAGGCTTGTTTTGAACTCCTGACCTCAAGTGATCCACCCACTTCAGCCTCCCAAAGTGCTAGGATTACAGGTGTAAGGCACTTTGACAGCCAAATGGCTCCATTTATTTGCAACTTCTACTGTATAACTAGTATTCTTTTTGAGAGGCTCGGCCTCTGAAAGTGCTGGAATTATAGGTGTGAGCCGCTGTGTCTGGCCTATAACTAATATTCTTGAGAGCCACTGTGTGCCCCACATTGGGCTGTGAAAGAGCCAGAAAAATTAAAGACATGGTTCTTGAGTCCAGGTTGCTGTAGTCTGTTTGTGGAGACAGACAGTGACCTGCAGAGAGCTGGGCAATGGGAAGGTAAAAGAGGAGGAAGGAAATGAGGATGGTGGAGG